GCAATCTCTCGAAGCTCTTACAGTGTCAAGGAGAAATATTCAAACAATGAACAAAACAGTTATGACCAGAATCATAATTCTTCATTCATAAAGCATAAAATACTTGTTTAGGAAAAACAAAGATTAACACCTAGTATGACATTTCATTGTGTTATCGAAAATTCAACCAAGTATCATCGTTTAATACAACCCCACATACGTAAGGAAATTAAAAACAAATGAAGAACGACTTCCAAACCGGGGCTCTGTCGTGACAATTCTGATCAACACCATGCCTGCCTTGGCGGTCAACCTCTCTCGAGACCTGACCGTCGCTCTACTACAGTCTAGCTATGGAGGACACCAAGGAAGGTCGGTTGGTAGACGGTGGGGAAGCACTGCAGTTGCTTGCTCACACTTTAAGTAAAGCTCTTCTAACTTCCTTGCCTCCTTTTGGCGGCAATGGCTGTGTATTTATAAAGGGAAATCTCCTAGGGTTTCGCATAAATAAAGATTCCCTAAATACCCGTTATTATCTTGTACAAGATAAAAAAGAAAAGGCGGATGGCTGTTGTCAGAATCTTGAGGGCTTGATTGCATGTGAAGGAAGTCTTACAGCTGACATGTGACATGGGCGATCTCGTCATATCCGCTTTAGACTTTCCAGATAAACCTTGCCTTGGCTAGATAAATATGCTCCTCACTTTCTTTAACTTCTCTATTCCCTTGGCCCTTACAAATTATGTTATCGCGAATGAAATGTTCTCCCGAAGTAAATTTCCTGGACATACACAATTCACACAGACTCTTTCTCCTCAGCAGCATTATTCAAACATAAACTTTGTAGAAGTAAAACTTATTCACCACAAATATAACCTAAATGCAACTAAATGCAACAAAAATGTTGTGCATACTTTGTTTAGACGAGCAATAACTTAAGTGAAAAGACTAGAAATTGAGTCTTTTTATGGAGTTATCAGTAATCGAGCATCTTATGCGAAAACTCGACTCAAATTGCTTCCTAATTAAACCAGAGTGTCATACTAATTTCTAAGTTCGATTCGAATGTTAACCTAATCTAAAAACTAAATCTAAGGATTTAAACAATGATATATCAAAACAATTAATAAACCTAATTAAAATAATAAATAATATAAAAAATAGAAAAAACACAACATAAAATGAATAGAATAAACATACTAGGGAATAAAATACAAAAACACGCGGAAATTAAATTACCTATTTATTTAAGCCTAAAAATAATCTGTAAATTAAAAAGGATAAATTCCAAAATCATTCCATACAAATTTTAAAAAATTAAAAAGTCATCCCACATAACTAAAATGCAAAAACACAGTTAACTTACAGGGACCAGACATCAATTTTACAAAAAATATATATAACATGTAGAGAAAAAGGGAAAATTATAACTTTAAACCCTACAAGACCATAATGAAAAACCACGCTAAAATAACAGGGACTAAACCATGAATAACCCAAAAATATAAGGCACACATAAAAAAAGGTAAAATAATAGTTTTGGTCCCTATAGGTGACCAAACTATAAAAACACACTAAAAATAACAGGGATTAAAACGAGATTTTACCCTTAATTTTTTTCTATATATACAAGCTTTTTTCTACATATACAAGCTTTTTTCATTTCAACCGAAATTTAGAAAAAAACAAAAAAAGTTTAAAAACAGTTTCCCCTCTCTCCTTGGCCGACCTATTACCGATCGCCCTGAACCTCTCCAACCGTCATCCGACCACTGTACACGGATGTCAAAAAAACCAAAATGCCCCCAAAAATACATCAAACCTAGCACTACCCACCTAGGGTCTAGTTTAGAGCTTAAAACTACTGAAAACCCCCTAAAACTACTCGAAACTGGCTCAAAACCCTTCAGCTCCCTAGACTCCGGTGACCTTCTCTCAACTCAGGTAAGCCTAGATCTAGTATTTCTTTTAATTTCTTCGTATTTTTACTATAAAAAATTGTTTGGTTGTTCTTATTATTCGAATAAAAAGGCCTATGTTTTTATTTCAAAATCTAAAAACTTTCTTTTACTTAGATCCCAAAATCGAAAACAAAAACACAAAAAAAATAGGAAAATAAAGATATTCAAATACTTAGAAAAAAATAAATATAAAAATGACCTTGTTTATTGCTTTGAAAGAACCAATTACAATATTTGTTCCCATCCTTTTACAGTGTTAATGCATGGGTCTTATACTTATTTTTACAAAAATTATAATCATTGAAATTTTGTTTCTTTTTTCTTGTTTTTACAGGGGCGTGGAGCTTGGCTTGCAGGGAAGGCTTTGTTGGGATTGGGACAGAAAATCGGTGGTTGCTAGTTGGGGAAGTGGGTGGCTACCTAGGGCTAGGTTAGACCTGGGTTGGATCTGATTTTGGACCTCGGGTCTGGGTTTTTAGTTGGGTCTTGGTTGGGTTTAAATTGTAAAAGGGTTTGGGTTTAGTTAGGCTTAGGGCCCGATTGACTTTTGGGTGTAAAATAAATAAAGTAAAAAATGGTGATCATAGGTACAATGGCATGCCTAGGGTCGAGAAGCTACGTCTTGGTCTCTTAAGATTGTTCACCTTAGCGGAATAACTCCATGATGGTATTACACTTTAATGAGTTTGGACCTATGAGTTCATAGCACTCTAATGCATTTAGACCTTCGGGTTTATGTACTATAGCATAGTCATTTTGCATTAGTACGACACTTTGGCCCCATCACCTTGGTAGACCCTTATTAGAGTTTACTTCGAGCATCCTTAATAATATTTCATGATGATACATCAATATTGATGTCCCCATGCATGATATACTGCTACTGATGATTATATGCATGATATGCATGCGCTTGCTACTAATGATTATGTGCCTGATACACATGTGCTTTCTACTGATGATTATATGCATGATATTTATGCGCTTAATACTAAATATTATATGCATGATATAAATACGCTTGCTATAGATGATTTTATGCATCATATACATGTACTTTCTACTGATGATTTTATGCATGATATACATGTGTTTGCTACTGATGATTATATGAATGATATACATATGCTTGCAATTGATGATTATATTCATGGTATACATATTCTTGCCATTGATGATTATATGCATGATATATGATTTCTTGCTATTGATGAGTATATGCATGAGATACATGTACTAGTTACTAATGATTAATGTTGATGATAGGATAAACATGTTAATTTGAATAAGGCAATTGTCAAATAAATAGTTAATGATAAGACTATCATGATGTGAAAAACTTTAATGAATTAGAGGAATATCCTAGATTGGATAATTATCATACCTACTAAATATTGAGCTTAGATTTACCATGATCATGAATATGATAAAATGTGTAAGGTAATCTGATGAGAAAATATATGTATCCTATAGACCTTGGGTAAGTATAACGAACCCGACTATTAATGATAAGACTATGAGAATCTTATAATAATGTCTTAAGTACAAAAATGGCTAGCATGTTGATTTTATGAGACTCATGAAATATAGTATGGTCAATGTGTACTCACTGGGATTAATAGCTCACCCTTTTAATTATTACTCTACAGGTTCAGGTTTAGGGGATCATGATGTGACAACATTGTTATCAGAGGAGTCTTAGTAGAAGTACTAGAGTACGACGATGTGGACCTGAGTATGCATGTAGAGATGGGATTTTACCCAAGTCTATTTTAAATTATTTATTAATGTATTTTAGTTTTTAAATAAATGTCTCTGCCTTTTCTAAATGTTTATATTTTTATACTAACATTCGTGATTTTATCTTTTTAAGTAAATTGTTTTTTTCCAGGTTTTAATTTTGTAAGATCACTTCGGTGGTCTAATGTGACATCGTCCTTTGGAAATGATTTTCGAGTCGAGTTAAGAGTGTTACATTTAGTGGTATCAGAGCTAGAGTTTAGCCGATTCTAGGTTGACCTGGTCAATTCCTGCATGCCCTCAAAGGTTGAAAAGTGTACTCATAGACTGAGACTCTGATGTCGTTCATCCATCGGTGATCGGTAAGTCAGTATGTTAACTTGGTTTAAAATTTGATAAAAACGATATTACTATATTAAAGTGAGAAACTACTACTTGAGTGCATAATTGATTCTAAAGAGGAGAAGTTGATCTCGACATCTTCCTATGATTGATGTCATGAATGTGAAATAGGCATGTAAGTTCTTTCCCAATCTAATTTTGAATATCAGAGTGTAGAAAGAAGGTAAAATATCAATGTTAGTGTGACAATTTGGAATGATGAGTTTTAGGGGCCCCTCTGGATCATATCCAATTGATCGAGCTAGTATAAAAGAAAGTTCACATTTTGTCCCTCAATTTAATGACTCGTAAAGGCATGTTGATTAGATGTAAACACTACTAGAAAAACCCCCTTTAATGATGCGCATTGCACGTCATCTATGGGTGTGGATGACACACAAATGCCTGTCGTTAAAGCCACCGACATAAATATCAGATGACGCGCAATTGTGAGTCATAAATCTATGAAGCACATTTATGACACGCATTTATGACATATTTATGACGCTCATTGCACGTCATTAAAGCCCCCGTCATAAATGAAGATGACACACATTTGTGTCATAAATTTATGACGCGCATTTATGACTTACATTGCGTGTCATTGAAGCACATGTCATTAAAAATGATAACACACATTCGTGTGTCGTTATTGTATTTCATAAATTATATATATATATATATATATATATATATATATATATATATATATATATATATATATATATATATATTGTAGATTGACAAATAATCAAACTAAATCACATTTAATGCCTCATAATACTAAATATATATATCATATTATATATAAGCAATCTATTTGCATACAATATATTTAAATTATGTTATCAAAAATATTGTAATCATATGTCGATACAAAATATCACGACATAATAAAGTTTTTCACATAAGATACCCATTCTTTGCGAATATCATAATGTCATCATCCGTGTATTCTTCCTTCCCATTGCCATCCTAAGTAAAAAAAAATATGAAATAAGTATATGACCATCGAAAATAAGTTGAAATTATAGAAAAACAAAAGATGTGATCTCAAACTAACAACTATATGATCAGTAACAAGTATGTAATGTTATATAGTGCATAATATAATCAAATCTTGCAAAAATGATTTAGACAGTTCAGAGCACCTTTGCGAAGTTCCCACTAAAAACAGAAAGTGCCACTTTCCAGAAAGCTGGTATGTGCTGTACAAGAACAGCGGTTAATCTTTTGATATATTTTCCTCTAAGAACGTCAACTTCTTCACTAGTCAAGGCCAGCGGTTGCAATTCTATAGGCAATTCAACGTTCCTAAAAGTGTAGTTGGCATCCGACTGAGTAGTTAAAAAAGTATATATAAAAAAATCTCATAGTTAGCTAGAGAACCAAGACTTTTTCCTCATACAATTATCAGATCACCGTTCTAGCTTGTAGCACTTACAGAGTTTATTTGAATTTGGAGCCACTTTGCGTCTCAGATGGCTCTTTCACGTAACTCATTATGCAATGTTTCCATGCGTACTTCATGGTCTGAAGTACACTTCTCAAGCAACCCTCGAATTCTATGATTCTATCAAATAAAAAACAGAACATTTTAGAGACTTAACCTCGGGAGTAGATGATTTTAAGCAAGTCAAGTTGGTAGCATACTTTTGAAATGGAACATAATATCAAATTCACGTTACTTGAATAGCAATTCAACTCAAAAATATTTGTTTAAAAGCACTCTAGAGCTAGCATTTTGATTCAAAAACTGATTCGATTAGAAGCACTCAAGAGCTTCCTGGACTCTACTCTCATCAAATTCAAGTTGATCAGCAATTTGAAGTAAACCATATCTGCTAAAACTAAAATCAGAATAAGGAACCAATGTGAAATGAATTATAGGCTTACCAATAGCAGCAGTTATATTGGACGTAGTCATAATTATAACATTGGGAGCTGATTTCAGCTTATCCATCTGAGTTCATAGCGCATTTACAACCCGAGGTACATTTTCAAGTTGTACCTGGTCTAAAGTTGAGGTAAATATACTCATATAAAGATGTGCATTTAAGAGAAAAAATATAAAGAAGTTTAATGGCTTGCACAAAACTGTTACCATAATGGAATCTGAAGGTTCAGAACCAGACAAAGCAACATTTATAGCAGCAGCAAGACTTTCAACTTCATCTACGGTAGCAGCAACATCATATATCTAAAGAGTCATAAGCTAGAAAGACTAGAAATGATAAAAACCCTAACTTCGGTAATAAAAGACTCACCAATTAGAGCAAATACCGGATTGCGTTCTTCCTCCACCATTTCTTGAATTTTTTGGAAAAGCTTTGCAACCTAAAGTTTAGGACCAGAGTTAAGAATGTAAACTACATACCATTAACATCCAGGACGTCATGATACTTCTGTCATAAGTTCAAAAAATTGATACAGAAACATACCAACTTGCCACTCTCAGAAAACCATTTATTAAACAATGAATGTGCATTAACTTTGATTAATTGGCACTGTGGATATCTGACTAAAGAATGGTAAGCCAAAAATAAAATCAGCTAGAACTAACCATCTCACAAGCTAATGTATAAGGCCTTAAAGTGATATATGCTTTGGGCACAGAAATTAACAAAAGAGCTGGTGCTGAATCTAATGGATAATTTTTGTGTCAGTGCTTTGCATAAAGATGTTTTTCTTGTCCCTGGAGGCCCATGTAAAAGAATAATGTTGCAGGAAAGAAAAATCATTGATCAGATTTTTGTGCTACTACTATTATCAATGTCGGTAATCAATTGAACTTTCATGTTAACTAAATGAAAGATAATTAGAGAAAATATCGAAGAAGAAACCAATATTATCTGCTGCTAACAGTCTTGAACCAATGACCAGTAGACCATATGAAGCCTTGCTTCATCCTATTTCTAGAGTTGCCCTCGGTGCAATATCATGCAATAAAAGAATAATGTTGCAGGAAAGAAAAATCATTGATCAGATTTTTGTGCTACTACTATTATCAATGTCGGTAATCAATTGAACTTTCATGTTAACTAAATGAAAGATAATTAGAGAAAATATCGAAGAAGAAACCAATATTATCTGCTGCTAACAGTCTTGAACCAATGACCAGTAGACCATATGAAGCCTTGCTTCATCCTATTTCTAGAAGTTGCCCTCGGTGCAATATCATGCAATAAGTGAACTGCCAAATTCCGTGAAAATTTTGAATGTTGAAAAGTAAGCATGTATATTTATATAGATCATAGATGCGTAGTAAGCTCTCTCCCTCTCTATAGAGCTTTGCATCATCAAGGATACGAAACTATAACAAAGTGCTATTGTCAAGCAATAAGTATGAACAAGTAAATATGCATAATGCTGAAAGATGGACAACAAGCTGATAATTCAAAATCCAACATCCAGAATGTTCTATTTGAAGTTTTAGTCATACTAGATAAGATTCCAACTATGAAAACCCCAAATAAAACAATAATCAGTTTGCTCATTATTACTAGATAAGGATCATCGTACTAGTTCTGAAAGAGAGAAATGACATTTCATTTTCTTCTACTCTTTTTTGGAACAAAACGATACTACTTTATTGAAAGTCATGAGGAGGTTCCATACCGATTCCATGACACAAGGAAAGGATCAACACCCTTTTCAGTAAAAAGTAATGCACTAGCTGCATAACACAATAACCGCTGCTTTAGGCCATATTCATAGTTTAAGCTGCACAATCAAGTTCCAAAATCAATATAAAAACTAATCCAAACGTTCAATAAAAATGGAAGCTGTAGACAAACCTTTCCCACATGCCATCAAATTCCTTAGCTGGTAGGATCCATTCATTAAAGCTAGACAACTGGCCATCCGCAGTTAATTCCTCACATAGTCCCTCCTCACTAAGCTGGCAAGTCAAGAATCATATCCATTCAACTTTAAACAGATAACATTAAATATAAACTGAAGATTCGGTCAGACATTTTTCAATTTAAGCAACCACACAAATGTTGTATCAACATCCTCTTCTACAAACTCAAGTAGATGCTCATTTGAAATGTGATTCAATTTCAAACAAGGTGTAGACAGACCTTGCTAAGTCAAATTGTTGGAAAAAAATGAGCAAAATAATAATAACAAAATGATAACCTTTTAACCTTAATAAAATCAGAGTAGCATGGTACCTGAAAGACATGAACAACAGGTTTCACTTGCCAGAACAAAAGAATATCATGGCTTTTAACCCATTCATCTACACAACAAACAACATGAACAATATGAGTACATCATAACCCCTCATCCTCCGTACATAAACAATGGAACTCTTAAACTAAAATACGATTATCAAGATAGATGAAAATTTTAAAGTGCATAGATAAAATGATAGCATAAAAGAAGAGAGAGAAAAACATGTGTCACATATTCATATTCTGTATACATTTTCCATGAGAAATTGATCATCGTTAGGCACAGGTATGGGACCATCAATGTAGCTCAGGCTTCTTTTCAAGGTTCTGATTGCAAAACAGAAAAGTTTACTTTCACATTTCAGTTAAAACCCCCAAACCCAACCCTAATTAATTTAAAATTAAATTATTCTTACAACATAAGCATCAAACAACAACCATCATCAGTAAACTATTTTTAAATAGATAAATAAAGGAAAATCATTTTAACATCTTAATGTTCAACGGCTTTTTGGACATCATCAGGCCGAGCTGTGCTTGAAGGTTTACTTCAACTGGCATTAAAAGAAGAGATGCATTACAAACATAAATCAACTCAAAAAAGAATCAGATTTCCAAAAAGAGTGAGACTGAGAAATAACCGGAAACACGAGACGAAAATGGAGGTCGGTGTTGGTCAAGAAAAGGAAAGCGATTTTATGGGGGGAGGAGGATGAGGAGAGGTGGGACGAGGCGGAGGGAGAGATGGTGGCGCGGTGGAAGGGACGAGGCTGGGGATTCAAACTTGGACCTAACAAAGAGAATGAAATGAGTGGAAAACATTAGGCGTGAGGGGAAGAAGTGGGAAAAGATGAAAATAATGGGGAATATATAAAAGATGACTTTTACATATGACACACAATTAAAAAGTATATTCCGTGTTTTTGTAAATTTTTTGGATTATGACTATTAAATATGACACACATTATTGTAAGTCATAAATCGTTCAGCTTTTAAAAAATATGATATTTTTTTTATGATACACATTTTTTGCAAGTCATAAATTAGCGTGTGTCATCGTTCGTGTGTCATTAAAGGTATATTTTCTTGTAGTGATATGTTATTAAGAGTTCATTCTTTAGTCCGATTCCTATTAACCATAGGTTTCTGGTCATATCTCGAAAGTCGATCATTGTGATAAGTGCTCTCATACTTTTTATAATATTAGATATTTTGCTGTGATTTTGTCATGGTGATGGATGATTCCATCAATGAAATTTCTATAAGTTCTAAATTTATAAGGTTCAATTAGGGTTTTCATATATCTAATATGGGGAAGCCTTTTCATTCTAGGTAATTTCTTGCCCATAATTGTCAAATGATGTTCTTAATCGATCTAATAGATTTTTTTACTTGCTTTTATAAGTGAACTCCTTCTAGCCTTACTAAATGAATACCCCTCATTTCCAAAATTAATATTCCTCATTCGAATATTTCTTGGTGGTATGCGGTCGTCTTTATTCTAAAAGATTTAGGGTAGGCTCTTACAATAGTTATTATTGTGGTGATTTGATTATTTGTTAAAAATGGCTCGTTATTCCGAGATTATGTTGCTTCAAATGTTTGAAAGCTCATATTTTTTTTAAATTTGAATTATACAAATTATGTTTCAAGAATACTTTCGTTACCCCCTGGGATTCCTTCAACTCGAGTTTATATGAAATTGATGTATTCAGACGAGTCAGTCGAATGTTGATTTTATGTTGTTTGATAAACTCTTTCACCTATTTTCAAAATGATATTCCTTAATCATTTTTGGATAAAGTTTGATATTGATCTTATGTTATTTGATGAATTCTTTCACCTATTTTCAAAATGATATTCCTTATTCATTTTTGGATAAAGTTCGATGATCGGATTAGACTTCAAAGCTTTGTATCAAATTCTTGTTAGAGCCTATGATGTGACAACTCATGTATACTTCCTGTCGACAGTCATTTTCGTCCCATATTTTTATACTATTATTATTATAATAATTATATTATTATTACAAATAATACAATAAAAATAAAAGGCCCAATCTCGGAGGCCCGTTTACAAATATAGAGGCCCGTTTTCCAGATCCAATCTAATAGAAACTTTAGGGTTCACCAACCTAAAGTTATTTCGGTCGCCGCCTCCAGGTACCCCAACCGATGATTGCCACGACGCCGCCTTCTCCAGTGACACCTCACAACCGTCGCTGTCACCATCAGATCTCACCAGAAGACTCCAGAAGTCGCAGGAGAGCCGCACACCTCGCCCTATGGTGAGTCACCATAGTAGATCCGGTGACTCACCAAAATGAACGGTTATCTGAAGCCTTCCAAGGCCTATAAAAAGTCAATCCTACAAAGAAAAAAAAAGAAAACAACAACAACGGGAATAGAGCAAACAACACCAACAAGCAACAAACAAACCAAAAGGAGAAGAAAAGAAAGGAGATCTTACCTTCGTCGAAGCCCAAACGTCGTCGGAAAAGTTGTTTTACCGAAGCTAAAATCTTAGATCTAGGTCGTTTTGAAGTTTTTTAGAAAAAAAAGGGTGATTTCGGGTTTAGGGTGAGCCGATCTACGATTTGAGCTATTTTTTTTCTGGCCGTAAATAGTAACCGGAATAGTGGCCGGCGACGTGAATAGTTACTGGCCGGTGGTCGAAATAGTGACCGGCCGGTGAACGGAGCTTCCTCCGATGAGGGAATTTAGAGAGAAGGGAGAACTTCTCTCCCTTTAGAGAGAGAGCAAAAAATTACAAATGAGAAGAATTAATGATTTTAGGCTTATATTGGTCTATTTATACACTTATCAAAACTACGTCGTTTTGGGAAGGGAGTGTCTGTGTAATTTCATAATTGGTTTAACCCCGTCCGTGGTCCCTGTATTCTGTAATCTTCCATTATAGTCACCAAAATCAGGTTTCTATATCTTTTAATTTTGTCTTCACATTTTATTTATTTTTATTTTAGTCACTACCGTATATTTACATATATTTAAATAATATTTTAGGATTATTTACACTTTTAATATATATATTTTATAATATTTCGAGTATTGACAAATAATTTATATATTTTTTAATTTAATCCTATATTATTATTTTGGTTACTATTTAATTGCAAATTTTATTTTATTATTACCTTTTATGTTTAAATATTTTAAATCTAGTACTTATTTATTATTTTTTATTTTAGTCATATATGTGTATCCTAATAATATATATTAGTACTTAAAATAAAATAATATAATGAATAGAAAAATAATAATAATAACATAAAATAATATCATTATTAAAAGTAATAATAAAAATTAGAAAGTGGAGCACTATAATTATATTGTTCAATTTTAAAATACATTCCACTAAGTTGTGTCCTAAAATATTTTATTAAACCCACGTTTTTTTTATTTTAATTAATTATAATGATTCATTTTTTATTTGTTTTCTTGAAATATTTATTTTATTCTCTTAATTTTTTATATTTTTAATATATTCATATTTTTAGAGGATTATTTACAGCTATAATACTTTGCATATTAAGTAGTTATAATAGTAACCTTAATTTTTATATTTTCTTGATTAAATAATTAAAATTATTATACGTAATTGGGTTATATTATTATTTTTATGGGATCATAAATTGAAATTAAATACAAATTTGTTAATTTATTGCAAAGACATTAATTAATAAACAAAGGCACTAATTTTGGGCGTTGTGGTGGTGCTAATCCTTCCCCGCACGTAACCGACTCCCGAACTCATTTTCTGGTAAACAAACCCTTTTTGTGTTATTTTAATATTATTTTTATAAATTTTATTAAAATAACATAGCATTTTTGGTGACCAATCACACCTCGATAAAATGATTGGTGGCGACTCCACAAATTGTGTTTTATCTTATACCAAAAGAAAAACACTTACTTTTTTGAGACGATATTGAGAAAGCAATGACACTTGTTTTCACCGGGCGGAAAACCGTCTCGACAGCTTGGCGACTCTGCTGGGTACCATTTTTTAGAGAGTCAAGCAACCGGTTTATTAATTAATTGTCTTTGTAGTAAAATTATAAATTTGTTTTAATTTATTTTTTCCTTGATTATTTTAATAACCATTTTTTGTGAATTAATTAACAATTAAATAGTCCAACTAACTTGTTTGTTAATGTTTTCAGATTTAAAAAAATTTGTGTCTTGTACATTATTTGTTTCTTTAGATTTAAAGAATAAATTTGTGTGTTTTCTACTTTTCCTCACACATTGTGCACTGCATTCGTGACATGAGCTAAAGCCCCGCTCTTATCCTATTTAGTTTGAATGAGAAACTACTCCCTCGTGTGGTTTTCACCTCCGTATGGGATAGGGGACCATTCTTTGAGCTCACACCTTATTTTCCTCATGTGGTTTTCACCTCTATGGACATAAGGAAGTGTGTTCCTTCAAATTGAACTCAATTTGAAAGTCTGTGATGGACTAGGATTAAGGGTTTGATAGCCCAAGGGGGCACCAACAAAGGATAATTTGATGACCCTTTTACCTTAAATCCAAACCCAGCATATAATAAACCTAGAACTTGAGTTTAGGCAAAGTCTAACCCAAAGAGATTCTTATAAGGTTAGCACACAAGGAAAAGCATGTTGATTCTTTTAATTTATGCATTATTACTTTGTTTGTTTTTTTAAATCATTTTCATTATGCATTACATTTTTCATACCATGATGTTGATTCATGATTGATGTTCATATAGAAGGCTAGAAATATGGAACAAAGAGTCCTACATGAAGTAGAAAACAATGCATATGTATCTGTAATATGTTTAAAACTTCGTTTTACTATAAAAGTTGTTCTAAGGAATCATTCCAATATCAACACCTTGCATTTTGCATCTTACATATGCATATGATCTTTTACATTGCATTTTAGTCAAATTTATCATATTCATTAATAAAACATTCAAATTTATTAAAAGGGTTTTTTTTTTTGTTTTTACGAAGAATACTGGACCCCTATAAGCATCCATATCATACTCGAAAAAAAGTAATGGATGATAAGATAGATCAACTCGAAAGGACTTAGCTTGAAATGCAAGAAACCTTCAAGAAAGTTCAAGAAGAAATGCATGAACAAATGCTGAAATCCCAAAATGACCTGATTGAAAAAATTCCAAGCATGTTACAAGGAAGAAGCATGGAATGAGAAAATACTCCAATTGTCAGTATTACCACTGAAGAACCTCTATACCCTCTAGGTTTTACACCGTAAGCAAATCGTGAAAAATCTCCAGTTATTGGTGTTATTGAAGAACCTCTGTATCCCCCAGGTTTTACACCACCTCATGTTAAAGCCCATCAAGGAATGGTTACTCAGTTAGGAAGAGTAAACATAAATTTACCTAGTGCCTCTACAAACTAACAACAACATGAAGATGTTCCAAATTTTGATCAAAAAGGAAAAAAAAGTCAAATAAACAAAATGATTAAAAATGGGAACAACTAGAAGAGGAAGTTAGGACTATGAAGGAGGGCCCTACCATGTATGGAATTGAAGCTAAATAATTGAGTTTGGTGCCTGATTTGGTGTTACCACATAAATTCAGGAGGCCTGATTTTGAAAAATTTGATGGCACGAAATGCCCCTCTGATCATATCATAATGTTTTGCAGAAAAATGATAGGTTATATAGGGGATGACAAATTGTTGATCCACTATTTCCAAGAAAGCTTAACAGGTTCAGCCATGAGATGGTACAACCAATTGAGTAAAGATCATATTAAATCTTGGAAATAGTTGGCAAAATCTTTTCTTGAACAATATAAGCATGTAAAAGATATAAGGCTCAATCGACTGGTACTGCAGAACATGGAAAAGAAATCCAACTAAAATTTCAGACTATATGCCCAGAGATGGAGGGACATAGCTGTACAAGTACATCTGCCCATGGAAGAAGATGAGACAAATGTGCTTTTTGTAAACACTTTAAAAGCTCCTTTCTTTACTCACCTTATAGGGAATTCCTTTAAGAACTTTGCTGAAATAATCACAACTGGTGAGATGATTGAAATAGCAGTTAAGAGTGGGAAACTTGATAGTGATAAATCTAGTAAAAAATCACTAATGAAAAAGAAAGAGAGTGAGGTCAATGATGTGAGAGAATACAAATCCAATAACATCACGATATCTCGACCTCGGGACACTGGATCATCTACGCAAAACCCTATCAAACAAGGGGCAAGGGAGCCGAAGCAAGAAAGAGAGAAGCCCCAGTTTGATCCAATTCCTATAACATACAAGGAGTTGTTCCAAAAATTGTATGACAATCATATAATGTCACCCTATCATGTATCACCTATGCAACCTCTCTATCCTAAGTGGTACAATGCTATCTTGCAATGTGAATATCATGCAGGAGCTAATGAACATTCTATTGAAGATTGCATTGCATTCAAAAGAATCGTCCAAAGCCTTAGAACAAAGAATGTCATAAATTTTGGTGACAATGTGCAGCCAAATATGTCCCGAAACCCATTGGCAAATCACACAGGGACCGATTAATCCAATTTTTCCCATCACTAAGAAATATTATTTCAATTTGGGATATCAGCTGACTAAAAGAAAGAAACTGAGGGGAAAATGAGGAAAAAGACTCTGGTTCAATTATACAACCCATATTTTAGGAGTAATGAGGCATGCTAGATGAATAAGTGGAGGTTGTTATATACCACAGTTGTACTTTTCATTTTCAGCATCTTGTTTGAATATGTTTTTTTTGGGTATTTTCTAAGCCTTTTTGTAAGGTTATATAAATAAATTTGTGTTGCTTTTAAGGTTATGAGCATTGAATCAATTTTGCAATCTTGTATTTCTTTGAATAATCACTGGATTAAAGACTCTTTACGATTAGAGTTATACATCTTTGACAAAAGTATCAAGATTGAATACCAAGAAAAAAAGGACCCTGACCTTACCTCAGAAGAAATGCATCCCCCAAATATTACCTTTCCACAAATATGAGAGAGCTTTCTCCAATGTAAGGAATTAGACAAAAGGTTTGGTATTGATATTTAGAAGCATACAATGTGGGGCATCTTTTGTGGCATTGCAAAGCTAGCTATATTACTTTTCTATTGATGAGGTTCGACGATGAAACTTTGACAAATATAGTCTAAAGTTAGTTGCTGGTGAATTGAAATTTAGTAATGAGCTTTTCTGACTTTCACCTAACACGTAGACTATAACAGGTTCTCTATAAAAGTAAGAGTCATATATTCAATAAAAGCTTAGCTATTCCACTA